CAGAGACACTGGTTGTAAAAATTGTTTCCCAGCTTTCTGCCTGTCTTCTAATGTTGGTTGTACTTGCTTTGTTTGTGCAAAAACTTTTAATTTAATGTAATCAAAATTATCCATTTTGCATTTTACAATGTTCTTGTCTCTTGTTTGGTCATAAATTCTTCATTTCTCCACAAATCTGACAAGTAAACTATTCCTTGCTCTCCTAGTCTGCTTCTAGTATCATCCTTTATATCTAAATCGTGTACCCATTAAATGTTTTATTCTAAATTTAACAAACACCACATAAAATGGAAAGCCTTGGATGTAGTATATGTGTGTGTGTGTGTGTATGTGTGTGTGTATATGTGTGTATAGCAGGGGCAGGCTGGAATACTTTCCATGTAGCTGGGTATATTCTCTGCCAGAGAGTACTACTGTGAGGACAAGGGCTTTGGCCTCTGCTAAATACATGTGTGACACAGAAACTCCTGATTTGTTCCTTGGTCCCCTAGACGGGACTTGTATTGAAGATGATTGTGCACTGAGTCAGGAAGAAGCTACTCACACAGTAGGCCATAAGAAAAGCCGTACGGAGGCAGTGCCCTCTTTTGAGCCAGGAACATCAGGACTCTTCCTGCTTCTCCCCTGTACTTCCAGCAAGGGGAGGATGGGGTTTCTTTCTCTTCCCTGATGCCCTATTCCCTCACTGTCCCCAAAATGGCGATGGCAGCTGGAGCACATGACAAAGAGAACATGTGTCTGCCAGGCAAGATTGGGTTCCTGGCTGCCTTCTGCCCTGATCACAGATCTGGAACTGACAGTATTGGTGGCCATTTCATGAATTCCTGAGTCAGTACTGGCTGCCAGTAGGAGGTGCTTACTGTGAGCATGCCCTTTTTCCAAGAAGAGAACAGCCATAGAATCATCCTGAACCTGAAAGGAATAAGAAACAGTGCCTGATTGTGCCCTGAGTCAGGCAGACAGTTCAGGCCTGAGATGAAATGGAGACATCTGTTCATCAGCCCCACAAAGTGGAGAGATACCATTTAGGGAGAGTACAATGGAGGGGGAGGGTTTTATGTTTTAAGTCTTTGTTAATTGGCTCTTATGAGTTTTTTGTTTTAACTATGAAATCTGTGGTGGAGGAAATACATGACTGGCCTATAGCTGATCTCCACGTTGTACACCAAACACCTTTGAGAGCTGGGAACTTATTTGGGGGATACTTAAGACATAAGCCTATCCTAAGCTTTATCTTAAAGCTATTCCCTCCCCCCTCCCCCGAGGTTTACTTTGGGAGCATAAAGAGCCACAGAGGTTATTCTACCTCCAGGATCGAGTATCAGAGTCTCTGGCTTCTGAAGCCATTCTAACCTGAGTCCTTCCTCCCTTTCTAGTCTTCTTCCACCTCACTCCCCACCATGCACTCTGCATTCCAACAACAGGAACCTTCTTCCTGTCCTCATATGCAGTACTCCATCTCCAAACTCTGAGCATTCCACTCTGGCTGTCCCCCATGCCTGGAGTGCCCTCCCTCCTCACCCCCATCTCCTGGCTTCCTTCAAGGCTCAGCTCAAGTGCTACATTCTTCAAGAAGCCTTTCCAGCCCTTCTTCACTGAAAGTGCTTTCCCTCAGATTCAACCCCTAATCTATCCTGCGTGTATCTTGTTTGCACACAGTTGTCTGCATGTTTGCATGCAGTCCTAACCCCAACAGAGTGTGAGGTCCTTAAGAGCAGGGACATCTTTGCCTTTCTTACCACAGTGCCTGGCACATAATAGGCACTTAACAAATGCTGTGTGACTGACTAACAAAGAAAGAAACCTCCATTTGGCATTGCGTTCACCTTCAAGATATCATATGAGTCCAGAGCAGGAGTCTCAACTTCTGCAAAAAGCCTTTTCCCTCTGAGACCACCACAGGCATTTATTGTCTGTGCATAATTTTTGCCTGCTGTCTCTCCCATTAGACTTTGAGCTCTTTGGGAGCAGGGACTGTTTTTTGCCCTTTTTGTATCCCCAGTTTGTATCCCCGGATCTTAGCACAGTGCCTGGCACACAGCCGGTGCTTAATAAATGCTAGTGGACTGATCTAACATTCAGGGTTGGAGAGAGTCAAAAATTGAAGGAAGCAAACTGCAGATCTAAGAAGACATTAGATTCTTCTATCTAAGAAGATCTAAGTTCTGAACAGGCATCCCATCTTCCTTTGGTTAAACCCTTGGTGAGGCAAGTAAAAGTTACTGGGAAGTTTTCTTTCAGGGTGCTATCTTCATAATAATACGCTTTGTAGTTTATAGGAACACTTTCATACACATTATCTTATTTTGAACCTCACAACAATCCACTGTAATGTAGATGGAAAAGGTATTACTAATGGGGCATGTGAAGCTTAAGGCAGGTGAAATGATCTAGAACCCAGTCAGTATTCATTCCACTGGACCAGGGATGGGGAACCTTCAGCCTCAAGGCCACATGTGGCCCTCTAGGTCCTCAAGTGCGGCTCTTTGACTAAATCCAAACCTCACAAAACAAATTCCCTAAATAAAAGGATTTATTGTGTAAAACTTGGACTCAATCAAAAGGCCACACCCAAGGACCCAGAAGGTCACGTGCGGCCTCAAGGCTGCAGGTTCCCCACTCCTGCACTGGACTGAATTTTCTCTGCTTGTCCTTCCTACTTCTCCCTTATAATCATTGCTGCATACTACCCCTTCAGCAATTTTAAGTTTTTAATGTCTTGTGTTAAAGGAAGACTTCCCTTGCTTGTAGTTAACATGTTGGCTGTGGGGTTGGTTGTTTTGTTTTTGGGGTGAGGCATGGTGGGAGGTGGAGAGGAAACATCTAAGAACCATTGGTCTATAGGTTCAGTTCTTAATTTAAGTATAGAAGATTGCAATGAAGCTCATTTCCTGATAGAAAAGTTGCTGGGTGTTATGGGCTTATTCTGTTCCTGTACGTCTTTTAGAAGCAAATCCATTTGCCATCTGACCAATGGATTAGGTTGACAACCCTGCCCCCCCCCCCCCCCC